GCTAATCAATAGATAGCTTCGATGTTGTAGAGAGGCCGTGCGGGGAGCTATTGAACTTCTCGAACTTCTCGCTGGAGAGCACATCATCGGGAATCACCGTGTATACGGTAGACATGGCGGTCACTCTAAACGAAAGCCTAGGGACAACCACTCCGGCGATTCCTGCTGAAAAGGAGAATCTGCGGGATGCATGGGAAAGCTGACAGCGAGAGCTTAGAGCAGTGAAGATCAAGAAATCCGCAGGCTGCAGCCTAGCAGTAAAAAGCAGTCTGAATCCGGGTCGGTGGCCAATAATAGGCAATGTGTTGCAGCACCAATGCCTCGCAGGTTGGGTAAGTTACGAATCTGTTCCCAAGCCCATTGAGCTCGCGATATGGCATGAAGGCAGCGAGGCCTGGCAACCCCGCAAAATGGGCGCCGCAACTTCTTCGAAAGCCTTCGGCCTCAATTCGAGGTACTTTTGGACTGTCCTTCCACTCGCTGAACACAACCGCAGTGGCCTTCCCGGACTTCAACTAGTGTCTGGATCGGGCATCCGGCTAAGTATGCTGTCCTGCGGAGTAGTCATTTATGTAACTGTATGTGAGTGATAGCCTTTAGCTCAACTTGACATGTCTCATATACCGGCAGCAAATATGTCAGCCTCGCCCTCGTCTTCCGCGTCTTCCGGTGCCTCGGCCCCCACGTACGCAACTCAAACTCAAAACGTATAACCAAGACCTGACCCCTCACAGCCTCAGAACGCACGAACCATGGACACGGCCGCCCGGCCCTCCTTCTGTGCACATGTAAGTGTAGCTTTGGAGCCGGCGTTTTCGGCCAATTTGAAGTCAGAAGCGTGGAGCCTGTGCCAGGCAGAGATTCAACCCCACTCGGCACCCCAATCTTGCAGGCGAAGCATGGCTCTCTGAGAGACTCTTTTCGCGAAAGCATCTCAACAGGCCCGGTTTGATTGGATCGGACATGTGCCGGAAGATGAGACCACTGCCTGTAAGAAGATGTGACATCTAAGTTGGTAGCCTCGAGCTGGGCTCTATTTATGTACTAGTCAGGGTCCCAAGTTCGGGCAGTCGTAGCAAAGTCTGCTGAAATCCCAGGCTGGCTTTCTCGGTCAAAATGTGGCAGTTTGCGACTCACGTATCGGAAAAGGCTTGTTAAGTCGGGCTCTCACCACCATGCCACCAGTCACTTCACAAAAATTTCACTCGGCTTCAGTCAGAGCTTCCATCGGATGCGTTATCGTCCTCGTCTCGCTCTTCATCCTCTTCGTTCTCGTCCTCCTCCTGCCCAAGGTCTTTGATGACTCGCTGCCATTCCTCCGACGAGCGATTCAGATCGTAATGCGTTGCTTTTGCAACTGTTTGCAAGGGAAGCTTGAAGGTTTGGACATGCACATAAATTTGGTTAGAGCTGCAAACTCGGGTCCAGTTTTGGATAATCGGTGGCATGGGGGGATTGTAGGATTGAAGCCGCGCGAGATAGATCGATTGGGCTTCAGGATCTTAGTTGTGAAGGGTTTTTACAGTAGCGCGTCATGATCTGTCCTGGTCGGCACATGCAACACTCAACGGGGCATGGGCTTGCCACTGTATGAATAAAGATCCTGACTCAAGGGATTCGGTTATGAGCTTTGCACTTCAATGTCAAAGTTTAAAGCGTCCTCGGACACGGCCGGATCGTGGAGCGGGCTGCCCTCGGACTTCATCGCCATCCTCAGCAAGTTTACAACTTCGAACGGCCACAGTGACTGGCCGTGCTCTAACCCCCTTGAGTGCCTTACGCCAGCAATGCCGGAAGCTGCGTGTTGAACAACCAGTCCTGGTGGATCTCGTTTCGGGCGAGACCACAGTAGAGCCTCGGAGCAGGATGGAGGATACAATTGTTCGAGCACGCCGTCCGTCGTCCCTACCCGAATTTCTAAGCTTCATGCGCATTGCGCTTTGCACAAACCAGGGCCATCTGGCCGTCCCCGGGAGTCAGGTCAATCACGGCTTTCGCATTGATGCCTCTGCTC